ACGACGCTTTAAGAACAATGTGTGATCTGAGCTACTCGGAGTGTACCCAAATCGCTTCATGGAATCAGTAAATCTCCCAAACCAGGCTCGGGGTGATTGCTTTAGCCCATACACAGATTTTCTTAGCTTGCATACGGTATTAGGACCGGATGTCATAGGAATCCCTGGTGGTGGATCCATATATACTTCTTCTTGTAAGTCCCCATGAAGAAATGCATTCTTTACATCATATTGCAGTAGTGGCCAGTCAAGATTTGCAGCCAAGGATATGAGAACACGTACAGTGTTGATTTTGGCAACTGGTGCAAACGTCTCCTGGTAGTCAATTCCATATGTTTGTGTATATCCCTTGGCCACTAATCGAGCTGTGTATCGATCTATGGATCCATCAGCTTTGTATTTAACAATGTATATCCATCGACATCCAACTGGTTTCTTTCCATGTGGTAAAGGAACCATTTCCCATGTAGAATTCTTTTTCAAAGCTTCCATTTCAATTTCCATTGCTTCAGTCCATCTAGAATCTGTCACAGCATCCTGCCACTTACTTGGAACACATACAGTAGATAATTGATTGACAAATGATGCATATGACTTTGACAATCTATGAGTGGACACATGGTTATTGATGGGGTATTTAGATTTAGCATTAAGGTCAGGGCAATATTGAGGTTTAGGTTTTCCCCTAGTGGATCTAGGTGGAAGTATATATGGTGCAACATTAGGTGGCTCAGTGATTACCTCAAGTACTTCTTCATCACTAGACGAATGATGCTGTGGCAGGGCAAGAGGGGTTGTATTTTGTAGTTGATCATCTGGGGCATCTGGATCACCTTCTGGTTCAATAGTCTCAAAGTCTTCACTGAGGTCAGAACTGAGAAGATCAAGATCTTCAGAATTTTCAACTCTGTGAAAACGTGACTGGTCGCTAGATTCTTCGTGACTGGTCGCCTCAGGCACTTCTCCATTTTTTTCAGTATATTTTTCGATCGTCTCTTCAAATGATGAGTCCTTCTCTTCACTCCCCCTCTCCCCCTGAAGAGAAGGGGTCTTGGAAACCACAAAGTAGGCCAAATCTTCATGAAAAGTGGCATCCATAGTGACAAAGAGCTTTTGAGTAGGAGGATGGTAACACTTGTATCCTTTTTGATTCAAGCCATATCCAACAAACACACATCGGAGGGCACACGGATCCAGCTTACTCCGTTGATGAGAAGGAACATGAGCATAAACAACACAACCGAACACACGAGGAGGCAACTTGAGGATGGTAGGAAGAGAGATGTGATGAGCCAAGGTATCTAGTGGAGTTCGGAAATCCAGAACACTACTAGGCACTCGATTAATCACATAGACTGCAGAGAGAAAAGCATGACCCCATAAGTGGTGAGGAACTGATTTATCAAGCATGTAGGCACGGGCAACTTCAAGTAATTGGCGATTCTTCCGTTCGGCGACACCATTTTGTTGTGGAGTGATCGCCTGGGGTACTTCTCCGTTTTCTTCAGCATTTTTTTCGATATTCTCTTCAAATGACAAGTCCTTCTCTTCACTCCCCCTCTCCCCCTGAAGAGAAGGGGTCTTGGAAACCATAAAGTAAGCCAAATCTTCATGAAAAGTGGTATCCATAGTGACAAAGAGTTTTTGAGTAGGAGGATGGTAACACTTGTATCCTTTTTGATTCAAGCCATATCCAAC